TATGTCAGTGTGCAGAATGTAAAAATTGTTTACAAAAAAAAGAAGATACATATCAGTTCTTTTCCTCTTTAAATAAAGAATTCTGTACTATTAAAAAATAATTGAGATATTTTACACTCCTTTTCATACTAAGTCTTCACACCTAGTGTATATTTTACCCTATCATACATCTCAATTTGGACAAGCTACACTTGAGGTACTGAAGAGCCACATGTGGCTAGTGGTTATTGTATTAAACAGCATAGGAATAGAATCTTCTGATTGGAAGTCGGAATTCCAAGAGGAATTCTTTAAACCAAGGAATCATGAATAGATTTATTTTTGAGGATGTTGACTGTTGATAATGTTAGAGATGGACGGAAGAGGAGAAAGAACTAAGGGCTGGGAACTTGAAGGGTTTTTGTAGAACTTCAAGCCAAATCAACAAAAGACTGGATTATGGTAAAAGACAAGGATAATGCCAGGAGCCATTTCTGTGTTGTACTTGCTATGTGTCAGGCATGGTGTTGCACCCCTCATACCCATATCTTTTTGTTTGCTTATTAATCCTTACCCAAAGATATTTTTCTGTTAAATTTTAGAGAGAGTAAAAGGGAGGGGGGATAGGGGAAGAGAGAAACATAGATGGGAGACATATCGATAGGTTGTCTTCCCTGGGAAGAAATGCATCCCGACTGAGGCTGGGAATGATTCTGCAATCCAAGTATGTGGCCTTGCTGGGAATTGAACCTGTGATCCTTTGGTGCTTGGGTTGATGCTCTAACCATTGGGCACTCACTTGGGCACTCACACCAGTATCATAATTCTTGCAAGAACTCTGAGAGATGGAGGCTATTATCTCCACCTACAAAGAGGAGGAAATGAGGACATAGAAGGTACAAGTACTGTGCTTGTGTTCCAGAGCTCATAAGTAGCAGAATCAGGATATAAACCAGACCTGTCTGGCTCCTTTGGACTGTGTCTCACACAGATGGAGACAAGAGGTCAGATTTAAAATATTCTTAGATTTATAGGATGTGATAGCAGCTGGATAAAAGATAGAAATGAGGGCTGCATAAGGGATATACAAGTGATTTGGAGATCGGATCTCTTGCTTGGAAATCTGTACACATGGTGAGAAGTGAGATGAATATCTAGGCAGAACATGGTGGCTGAATTTTCGTTTTGCTTGTTTTGTTTAGGTTTATTTTTCTTGAGGGGTGAATGCCAAAGTAAGGAGGCAGAAACTATGTGTGTAGTTTTTAAAAACCTACAGGGACCAGTGGCAGTTGGAAGTGATGGGTTTGGAGCTTGGCAGATAATTCAAGCCTCCTCAGGATGATTTGGAGGTCACTTGGGTACAGGAGATGGCAAAGCCCTGGACAGGGGTGTGTTTGCTTCCTTGTGAAGAGGTTTTAGAGGCATGAGTCTTAACCTCCTTTGGGGCCTGAATGACTTTGAGACTTGCCAAGGAGTTGGAGAGAGCCACTTGACTGGTAACCTTGGTGCAAGTGGTTGGGGCAGAATGGGAGGGTGAAATAGAGCCTTCAGCATGCCAAAGACTGACTGGGCAAGGAAGTTCAATAAATGGGATGGTGGAGGCTGGCTCTGCAGGGGAGAGGGGAGGTGAAAGGGTAGAGGGCCAATTAAGAGGATGGTTTCTATACTTATGAAAGTTAAGTAGTATTTTAAGTAAAGTCAGATGAAATTTTATTGTCCAAGATTATCATAGAAACCAACACATAATATTAAAGCAGTCCTTTTGTTTAAAAATGGATAAATACAACTTCTACCAACTTTATGATGATAATTGCATCACGTCAGTTCTCATATAAAAAACAAAAAGTTCTTAGAAACTTTTTATTTAGGCTCTTGAAATCTCATTGAAAGAAAATAACTATGCTTACCAATTTGAACCAGAAGGTACGTCGCCCTGAACTCTCCTGAGTGTTATCAGTGTGCGCCTGCATGTGTGCCCTCCCATATCCTAGGGTGAGGGTCAAGATGGGAATAGGGAAATCTGTGTACTTTATTCCCAGTTTGACAATGGTTACAAAGAAATAGTTGTTGAAATTTTATATTTTGCACAATCATAGCCACTCTTACTTTTGTGAAGTGATTGACTTTATACTTTATAGACTAGAGAAGGCTCAGGTGCTAAGGTCTATTGTTCCTCCTTACTCCTGGGTGACCTTGGCACCCTAAGGTTCCTCGGGAAACAGCTGAGCACCACCAGCGACCTCCAGCATGTCTTCCAACACCTCTGTTCTGCTGCCCTGCTCAGGAAAATGATGTAAAAGTAACCCTGATCTTGAAGAGTTCTGGAAAAATGTGGAATTTTTAAAAATCAAATTCAGTTGGTCCCTTTGGTTGGGCATCATAAGATTATAAGTGGATTTGCCTAGAAATATCCTGGCTCTAAGTCACAAGGCTGATAAACCCAGTTAATGCCAGTTAATCTTGTCAAGGGAAACTTATAACTTCTTGATGAAATACTAACAACATTCAAAACATTACTCATAAAGTGAACATTATTAAAACTGTCCTGGGCCAACTGAGGCAGTGCCACAGCCCTGAACCGTTCCAGGGCGCTTGCCCTGGTTTTCTGTAGCCATTCTACTCAGGCCTAGGATATTTTCCAACAGAGGGAGAAGGAAAGTTTAATAGATTCCTTTCCTCCTTGACCAGGAAGTAAATTTGAAATTTGACCTGTGGAATTGACTTAAAAATAGAGGAACTTGGAGAACATAGGAAAGGACTAGGAAGCAAACTTGAGAGGGAGATAATTTGGTGACAAGAGTAAAAGTAATTTGAAGACAAATATGACTTCTATGACTGGTACAGCTCTGCTGGCATCATTGGGTGGTGGGGAGCATAACATAAACGCAATATATAACCAAACAAATTGAATGCAGGGTTTTAGAGAGATATTTGCAGACCAATGTTCCTAGCAGCATTGTCTATATATATAAACCCTAATATGCAAATAGACCAAACGGTGGAACAACCAAACAACCAAACAACCATTTGCTATGACATGATGTGTGCTGACCACCAGGGGGCAATCACAGACCATGGTGGGCATTGGAAGTTGGCGGCAGAACATGGAACATGGTGGGCGCAGGCCACAGTGGGTTGGTGGAGCAGGTGAGCGGGGGCGCCAGACCAAGCCGGGGTGCCTGTTGCTGTCATCGGGGAGCCTCTGGTGTTTACTGAAAATCCTTTGCTCCCACGGGCCACAGTTCTGCCTGGTACTCACACCTGCTGCCGGCAGCAGCCCTGCTTGCACCCACTGCCGGCACCAGAACCACCACTCACACCTGCTGTCAGCGCCGGGTGCTGGCTCCAATCGCTTGGTGCTGTCAGTGGCTGTGAATGGTGGATGCTGGCCCTGATCACTCCTCAGGGCTTCTCCACCTCCCCTTGCTCCTGAGATGTGATCAGGGCTGGCAGCTACTGCTCGCACCTGTTGATGGAGATGGCCTCACTTGCACCTGCTGCTGGCGCCAGAGCCGCCACTTGCACCCTCTGCCAGCACCAGCACTGCTCGTACCCGCAGCCAGCTCCAGAGCTGCTGCTCACACCCACTGCTGGTGCCTGGTGCAGGCCCTGATTGCTCAGCGGTGTCAGTGGGTGTGAGTGACGGTTGCCAGCCCCGACTGACCCTGAGGGCTTCTCCACCTCCCTGCTCCTGAAGGGCAATAGGGATAGCAGTTGTCACTCACACCCACTGCTGGCACTGGCCCCAATCGCTCTGCACCATCAGCGGGTGTGAGTGGAGCCAGTGATGTCTGCCGTGGGAGTGGATGTGATGGAAGCTGGGCTAACAGCAGAGAGGGGACGGGGGTAGAGGGGAACACTTAGGGAGGGGCCAGATAGGGGCGTGGAGGATGGGCCAGGACCCACCCCTGTGCCAACCACAGCCTCACGGCCCATAGTTCTTTTCAAGATGCACAAATTCATGCACTGGGCCCCTAGTTTATTCATAACAGTCAAAAGATGGACATAACCAGATATTCATCAACGGATGAGTGGATAAAGAAAATGTAGTCTATACAATGCAATATTATTCAGCCTTAAAATGGAGGGCTTCTCCCAGTCTTGGCCTGGTAGCTCAGTTGGTTAGAGTGTTGGCCTGATATGCCAAGATTGCAAGTTCAATCCCTGGTCAGGGCACATACAAGAATCAACCAATGAATGCATAAATAAGTGGAATAACAAACAGTGTTTCTCTCCCTCCCACTCTCTCTCCCTTCCTCGCTCTATTAAAAAAAAAAAAAAAAAAAAAAAGGGAAGGAAATTCTATCACATTATACAACTTGGATGAACCTTGAGGACATTATTATAAGTGAAATAAGCCAGTCACATAAACACAAGTATGGCATGATTCCACTTGTGTGAGGTGTCTGAAGCAGTTAAACTCTTAGATACTGCAAGTAGAATGGTGGTTGCCAGGGAGTGAGGGAGGGGAAAGAGTTATTGTTAATGGATATAGAGTTTCAGTTTTTCAAGATGAATAGCATTCTGGAGACTTGTGCATGTAGTTAATATTATTGTACTGTGCCAAAACCGGTTTGGCTCAATGGATAGAGCGTCAGCTTGGGGACTAAAAGGTCCCAGGTTCGATTCCGGTCAAGGGCATGTACCTTGGTTGCGGGCATATCCTCAGTAGGGGGTGTGCAAGAGGTAGCTGATCGATGACTCTCTCTCATCGATGTTTCTAACTCTCTATCTCTCTCTGTAAAAAATCAATAAAATATATATTTAAAAAATATTATTGTACTGTATACTTAAAAATGATGAAAATGGTTCCGGCTGGTATTGCTCATGGTTGAACATCGACCTAAGAACCAGGAGGTCACAGTTCAATTCCTGATGCCTAGGTTGCAGTCTCGATCCCCAGTGAGGGGGTGTGTAGGAAGCAGCTAATCAATTATTCTCTTTCATCATTGATGTTTTTGTGTCTCTCTTCCTCTCCTTTCCTCTCTGAAATCAATACAATTCGTTCAGTGAGAACTGTATTATGTGTCAGGTACTGTGCTGGATGCTGAGGATAATGTGGATATAGGCCCTGACTTTACAGAGCTAACAGGGGTGACAGACAGTAAGTAGGAAAAACAAATAAAGATCCAGTGATGAATTTTGATAAATGCTGTAGAGAAGCATTCAGGGAACTGTGATAGAGAATAACTAATTTGTGTGGAGTTTGAAGACTGGCTTAGACATTTAACAAGGTGATCAGAGAAGATTGTACAAGGACTGGGATACTTAGGGAGAGAGGTGTCACAGACATAGAGGGTTCCAGGTGCCATCCCCACCCAGGCCTTCTGCATTCAGCAAGAACTTCATGTGCCACTAGTGGTCCCATGTGGCATGGCTATAACAAAGAACAAGAAGCAAACGTTCCCTCCTAAAACAAGAAGGTAGAGTTCAAAGAGGCAAAGGGGAAGAAAGCCCAGAACTCCTGTGTCAGAATTGTAAATGAGTGTGTTTAAATGTGTCCCCACATGGCCCTGTGAGGAAAGAATCCCAGTGCTGCCAAATTCCGGCAGTGCTCCCTGTCCCTCTGCATCTCAAATTCCTCCTCTGTGCAGGGAGAAAAAGAAAACAGAACTTCTACCCAGATAGATTTCTGGTATTATTAGTGGTAGTAGAATGATTAAAACACTGCTTTCATTGAATTCTCTCTGGTTGGACTACAGTTGAATGCTTGTTCAGTTCTAATTGCCATATTTTGAGAACAACATGGACAAATTAAAATATATTCAAAGAACAGGTCACTAGAGAATGTGGAATGAATTCAGAATGGTTACAATACAGAAGTGAATACTAAAGGATGAAATGACAATCATCAACTTGTGACAGACAGGCTGATATATATAGAGAGAGTGGACTGATCACATAGTGAAGAGTGTTGCCTTGTTTTGTGTTGGTTTAAAGATATATCTAAACCTGGGAATCGGGTCCAGGTAAGAAAGAAGCTCTGTAATAGTTGTAAGCGATAATGAGTCTCAGACCATGGAGATGATACTCAAATGGAGACTGGATAACGGGTTGCTGTGGGGGTTTTTTGTTTTTTTTTTAATGGGAAAGAGATTGCTGTGCATGGATTGTCCCATTCCTCTATTGTGGATGTCTCTTAAGTTATTTTAAAACCATGTCTGAAGCTGAAGGCCTAGGGATTATATTAAGATGCAGATGAAGTGCCCAGATGCACCACTACAGAAGTGAAACCCAAAGCCCACCTGTCCTTATTAGAAGTTTGGATGGAAAGTTCTACCTAGTATTCAACCCCAGTCACATACTCCTTAAGGACCTCTGCTTCAGCCCCATTAGCCACTCACGTTCTCACTTGTTGCTCTTTGTTATAACAACCCACATACTTTGGAAAAAATTTTTCATTTATATATTTATTCAAATTTTGTTTTTAATAGCACATTTGTAATTTTTTAGAATTTAAAAAGGTTCACATGAAAAGCTTCTGTCTCTCTGTGCCCACGCCCTCCCCTCTCCCCCAGGCAATGACTAGTTTCTCTAATGTTTGTCTAGAGACATTTTAAGTGTATATATACGTAAGCACAAGTATCTGTTGCTTTAAAGATGACTCCATGGCAATATAAAAAGCGTTCGCTTGTTCCTTTTCGCAGGCGCATTCTATTCCATTCCTCTTTGTGGACAGTTAGGTCATTTCCAAGCCTTTGCTTTCACAGTGTTGCCAGTGGCTTACCTTATACATGCTTGAATGCACACATGTACAAGTACACCTGTAAGCTACATTCCTAAAGGCAGAATCAAAGAGATTGGGCATTTATAATTTTGTTAGCTCTTAAAAAATAGTTCTCAATAGAGATTTTACCAAGTTTCACTCCTACAAGCAGTTTATGAGAATGCCTTATTTCCTTAAACCCTTGTCAGCTAAGTATATTGTCAAACCTTTTGAGCTTTTCCAAAGTGAGTGAAAGAAAGAGAATCAAAGTGATTTTAATTAGTATTTTTCTTACTCTGAGTGAAATCGAGCATCCTTTCTCCCATGTAAAATCTTAATGGGCTTTGAGGGAGGCCATTGAAGAAGTTCATCAATGCCGACTGAGCCTGGAAGGCGCGGAGGAGCACTGTGCTCACAGAAGAGAGCCAGAGTTCCTTCTCAGTGAGTGTGCTTGGGAGGCTCCAGCAGGCCCACTAGCCTTCAGGCTGTTTTAGCCTGTCAACTCTCTGGCCCACACTGGAAAAATTCAATTAAAACAAACCAAATGTAATTCAGAAGTAAAACCATTTCCAGAACAAACCATTATATTGCTTTTTTAATTTTTAGTTTTAAATTAAATAAAGTACTTTGCTTTTGTACTTGGAACAAGATTTAGGATGCAAATACATTTTAACGGAATGTGTTTAACTTTGGAAGGAGCTGTCTCACACCTCTGAGGGTGCAGCTTCTGACTAGTTGGCCCTCAAGGTGTCCTAGGCTTGCTCCCAGCCTCCCCCCTCCCACCCTTCCAGCAGTGTCTCTGTTGGTTCAAGCAGATTTTGGCAAAGACCAGAGTCTTTTCGCTGGGAATATTGGCATTGCATAGCCTCCATGCTAATTAGCAGCCTGACCCTTTAGTCCTCTGAAATGCTTCTGACCAAAGCTGTTTCGTTCAGTTTTTCGCCTAGAAAGGGACCATCCAGTCTTAGTAGCACAGACCTGACTTTGCTTTTTGCAGTAAACTTGTAGGTTCAAACCTATCTTATTTGATGGCAGTGCCTTGCTTTCAGTTGCTTAGGTCAAAACTCTACATGACAAAGCTCCCCTATGGATATGCTCCATCAGTCCCTGAGGAAATCTGGTGGGCTCTACTTCCTAAATGTATTCAGAAACCAGCCGCTTCTCTTTACCACCATCTTTGTCATCATGGTCCAAGCTGCAATCTCCTGCCTGGGTTGCTGCCATAACCTCCTGACAGACTTCCTGCTTCTCCCCTTGTTTTTCCTGCAGTCTGTTCTCACCACAGCCAGAGAGGCGTCCTGTAGGTCCCAGGTCCGTTCACGTGAGACCTCTGCTCCACGCCCTCGCATGGCACTGCCCATCTCAGAGAAACCTCAGTCATTACAGTGGCTCTACTCACTCAGCCTTCTCACCTCTTTGGCCTTGTCTTCTCCTGCTCTCTCTGCGACCACTGCTACTCAGCTGGACTGGCCTCGCTCTGCTTTGAACAAACCAGACTCAATCCCCATCCAGGTCCTCTCACCAGCTGTGCCTCTGGACTGCTCCTCCCACACATCCAGATGCTCACTGCCATTCTGAACACCATCCCTTGCAGCCTCATCCCTTCCCCACCCACCCACCCTGTCCTGCTTTATTTTTCTCCATTGCACTTTAACACAGTTTCATTTACTTGTTTATTTAGTTTATTGTCTCTCCTTCAAACTAAAATGTAAACTCCAGGAAGGTAGAGTTTTTATAGCTCTTTTTTTTTCCCTCCCACCCATATTCTAGCATGTAGAACAATGCGTAGCATAGTGTGGGCACTTAGTAAACATTTGTTAAATGAATTATATTTCTTTTCTCTACCAAACTTGTTCTCCAAACTGAAACAACATGTGTTGTATTTTGATACTGGTACTAGTTTAGTACACAAACGAAATCCTAGAGAACTGATCCATGCTTTTCTGGTGAATGTCACAGTATAACACCTGGAATCGTTCGGGTAACAACTCTTGTGGAAGGATTAAGTATAACCCAAGAACTTCATTAAGGAAAGTGACAGATACATTTGGGTGACATCTGGAGACTTAGATTTAGATCCAGGTACCACTTCTGAGAGGGCGATAGGCAGGTAAGAGCACATTCGGAGAAGAGCAATGGGAATGGTGCAGACATTCCAACCCATTACACCAAAGGCAGGAATGGGGATGATTGGCTTGGAGGGGGAAGAAGATTCTTGAGGAACATGATTCCTTTTTCCAAGTGTTAAAAAAGATCTCATGTGGAAGATTAAGTCTACAGATCTGCTCTCTAGACCTATAATCACCTCCTTATTGCCTTTCATCCCATCCAAAGCAGGTCCAGCTTTTGTGGAACCTGAACATTAGAAGGGAACTCCTCCTAAGGTAAAAACAAAACAAAACACAGTATAAAGAGTATAAGTATAAATGTATAAAACTATAGGTACAGGCTATGGAAGGTATAGGGTCTTGGGAGTTCAGTTTCATTATCTTCACCCCATTTAGATTTCCCCTGCCAGCAAAACTGAGCTCCTTGTAACTTTCCAAAAATGTTTTCTCTTCCTTCTGGCTCTGCATGAAGTGTTCCCTCTGTCTAGAGTACCCTTTTCTCAACATGTCTACTTGGTAGTATCTACTCATCCTTCAGCCTCTAATTCAAAGGCTATACCCTCTGTGAAGTCTCCCCCACAGCCCTCCAGAAAACTTAGGTGGGTGCTAAGTCTTTCCCTGCCCTGGTGAATCTTGTGCATGTTTCCACTACAACACTCAGCTTAGTGTTTGAGTTTGGTTAATTTGTTCGTGTGGCTTTCCTTCTGCTGTGTATCAGGTAGGATGGGTTGAACTATGCTGTAGTAACAAGCAACTCCAAAACCCTCAGTGGCTTAAATAACAGGTTGTTTCTTGCTCAAACTGTGTGTACATTGTGGGCCAGCGTTTGTTCTCCCTCTTTAGGACCCAAACTAATAGAATAGCCACAGTACGGGACATTGCCGGTTGCTCAGCCAGAGAGTAAATTGTGAACCAAAGCATCAACTTTCTTCTAGAACTTTCCCCTGGAGATAACTCGTTTGCTTACATTTCATTGGCTATATACTTCAGTTCAGGTGGACAGGGAACTCCAATGTGTCCAAAAGGAGAGTCCGCCCCAGAATATTGATGAATGGCCTGGTATCCACTACAGACTATTAGCTTCTTGACTACAGTATGGCATCTGTTAAAAAATCTCTGTACAGCCAGTACCTAGCAAGTAGTACTTAGTACATAGTAAGTCCTTGACTCTTTTTGAGTAAAATATTAAATTTAGTGAGTAAAACCTACAGGAAGGTAATTTTTGGGATGCTTAGAAAGGAATCATTTACAACATGTTTTCTGCTTTAATTGGTATTTCAAGATGATTCATGTGCTCCCAGTCTTCAGAGATATTCAAATATAGGATATCCTAACCACCTCATGGTATTTCAAGATGATTCATGTAAAGATGAGTGGTTGAAATCTAAAGTGGTCTCTAAAGTCCCTTTAATTCCGAGGCCTTTGTATTTATATTATAATCACCTTTTTGGCTTGAGAAAGAATAAATTAGTGTTCACCTCAGGGGTGATAACATCTGATTGGGCAGCCTATTTCTGTT